ATCAACACAACAAATTTTAACAGTAAAAAGAGTTTTACCACCATAAAGACTAGTCAAAATAAGCTGACTTAAGTCTCTCAATAGAAACAACAGTATTAGCTTTTTCAGTGAAATCAATGCTGAAATATTTATCACTTCATCGATCTCTTCTACCTAAAATGTTATATGGTCTATCATAAGTTGCTTATAGTGACTTTTTGACACCATAATTTCGAACGAAATGTGTGCAAAATGAAAGCAGGTCTTTAGAAACAAATATTCCTCTTCTGTAATTCTTTTCGGCAGGAAGAAGAAGAATCTTCCCCATGAAACACAAACGGTTCAGCAAACATGAGTGGCTCATGGCTCATGATTCTTTGTTGCTTCAAAAAATTCTTCAGGAAGTTTCAAAGTAGTCCCATAAACGAGTTCAGAAGCTGTGCAGCCTAAGTCCTCCTTCAGCCACTATCAAAGATCTTCAACAAAGAGCTTTTATAAAATATTTTATAGGATTTATTTGATAAAATTTCTTTCATGATTTTTTCTTTTCGTATTACAATTATTACATTAATATAAAATATAAGATAAAACTATTAGTAGCTCATTGAAGTAAAATGGACGAGCAACGTTTTTTTCCCTTGTGCTGCTGCAATAAGTGCTATTATGAAAGTGTAACTGGTGTCTGGTGTTGAAGTTTAAAAAAAAAAGAAAAAAACACGACGCTATTGGGTGAGGCCTTGGGTTACAAGGCGTGATCAACAAGGGATTTATCATACCTTACTTCAAGAATTGCAATACGAATACTTGAGGATTTACAACTATTTAAGAATGGATGAAGATAATCTTAAGTTTGTAGCTTCAAAAATATCACCGTTCATTTCCAGACAGAATACACACTTGAGAGATTATGTTGAGGAACGACGTATGGTAACACTTCGATTTCGGGCAACAGACGCGAGTTATGTAAATCTACGATATAGTAGCAGCATACCACAGTGCACTCTTTCAGGAATAATTCCAGAAACATGTGATGATGTGAAAATATTTTATAAAATATACTGTATTGGCTGCTAAGTTTATCAAAGATCTTCTATAAAAGAAAACTTTTGTAAAATATGGTATTTATACTGTAAAATGTTTCATCAAATATCTTTTATAACAGATCTTTGATAGTGTAATACTGGCCTAGGAGATGTACGGATACCAAGTAAAACAAAAGGAAGGATATTAACCCATTCGCTTTTTGAATGACATTCCAGTGGACTCTTAATTTGTTTAGTTAAACGTCTCATAATGCCATTTGACGAGGAGATATGCTGTCGTTCGAATTTTATATGAGCCAAGTTTTTCCCAAAATATCCTTCTACAAAGCTGACTCAACTGAGATCCGCCAGCAGTTGTTATCGTAGAAGATAATATGCCAAATCTTGAGATCCATCCAGCAATGAATGTTTGAGCTATAGAAGAAGCAGTGATATCGCCAATCGGAAAAGCTTCTGGCTAACGAGAGGAACGGTCAATATATGTGAGAATATAGGAGTATCCTTTTGAATAGAGCAACGGACCGATGAAATTCAAATGTAGGAACATTTTCAAATCTATTGGAAGGAGGACAGAAAGTTCCAATTTCTGATTTTGTGTGCCTTATAACTTTATTATTCTGACAACTTTGACAGTTACGTACATATCTTTATTCGTATTGGGCCAAATGAAGCGTGAACATATGAGACGTTGAGTTGCTCTGATTTCTGGAGGTGTCAGTGAATGAAGTAGGTACCGCAAAAATGTTTTTCTGAAAAACTTTCGGAACAAACGGTCTTGGTGCGCCAAAACTTCGAGCTGTTTTCTCACGTTCACTTTTTTGAACTGGTTCAAAACAGGTTTGAAACAGAATATTCTCGCGATGAAACCATGACGTCACATCAAAATTGGTTCAAACCGTTTCGAAATACAATTCAATCCAAATTTTCAAACCATTTTCTCGCGCCGAGAAGTTATGACGCCATGTGACACTGTTTTAAACCAGTTTTGAAAGACGTTTTAAAACATTTGAGACGCGAGAAAATACCTCAGGGACATTATTCTCGAAACAGAGGAACAGCGTTCTCATGAGAACGATTGCTCTGTCATTGTCAGTGTTATGCAAATATGAATACGGACGACGAAGATAGAACCTTCATTCTCATGAGAACGCTTTTCCCCTCAAGGGCGGTTTGAAGGGGGTAGAGGGGGTAATTACCCCCCCTCCCCCAAACAAAGATTTTTTTTAATACACTTAACAATAAGATTTCAACTAAAGACAAGTTCTATAAAATAAAACATAAAAGGCATTGTATAAATTGATAAGCTCACCAGTATCGACGCACCTATTACTATACAGTGAAATAAAGGGTATTTCATTTGAAAAAATGGGCTATGGTTGTTTGAAATGTCTGGTTTTGTGTACATTAACAGTATTGGGAACACCCTGTAGAATGTTATCAGATTTTCATAGAAGCATGAAGTAAACGTAAGTATACACTAACAATCAGCAAAAGATTTTGCTTAAGGATCTCAAATGAATGAAATGTGTTGGTTTTTGTTGATACACGCAAAAAAATTTCAAATATTTCAAAAAGGGTCGAGTTTTAGTAAAGGTAATTCCTCATCAAAAGTATGTACCTAGGATTTTTAGAACAATCCATTAATGTTCTAAAATATAGGGTGTTCCATTTAAAATAACAAAGTTCTGTCGCATACCTCATTTACGGAACACCCTGTACATTCAAAAATATTTCACACTAATGGACCTTAGAGTATCAAACTACTTTGTTACCTATTCATTTTTTTTTCTTGCATCACCCTGAAAGGCGATATCGTCTACTAAGTGCACACCCTCTATAACTATTTTGCTGGCATTGAGATACATTTCGCCTCCGGCGGGGAGCCTTTCGACACTTGATGATTTTCCCGTCATCCATTACCACCCCTTCCAGAAAATCATCTATGGACCGCCACTGGTTCCCCTGTTTCGACTCGAGAATAAAGTCCCAGGTCACATGCAAGAGACTTATTATAAAATGGAAGAAAACCCAATTTAAAGAGTAATGATGTGTCGTCAGAAAACGTGTCTTAATAGTTTTATGGCTAATTTCACCTTAACCTTACAAATTCACCCCAAATAATGTGTTTCGTATTTAATATAGTATTTCATAAGCATATACTATAGCCACACACATTTTCCGTCTCATAATTTGCACACCGACAAAATCCGAAAATCCCCACATTTTTCTCACCTCTAATTATTAATCCGGCTTTTAAAAATAAAAATGTTTGGCACGTCGCCTTGTTTACCTGAAAAACATCGCGCAATATGAACGCCATCCATTAAAATCCTTTCCATTCTCAATAAACAAACAAATTTACTGAAACAATTTCAAAGGGAGGATTTCATCTTTCTAATGTAAATCACATTAAATCAAAATTTTTTCTTGATAATATTTGGGTATATTTTCTCAACAATCAGCATTCAAAACACCATTACCCGATGGGTAAACCACTAGTGGAAATCATTGTAAATTTTTTTTGGGAATCACATAGTAATCAGTCAGGAATACATGGAAATTACTTGGGAGTTCCTGGGAATATCCTGGAATTCCTGGAATATGCTAGGAATCTCCTAGGACTCCATGGGAATCACATAAGAATCTATTGGCAATCGCTTAGAATCATGTGGTAATCGCTAGGAATATCATCTTATTCTAACCCAGAAATCGCATATCATACATTTTAAACGATACAGCGTACCGGTCGGTTGTGTATTCGCCTTTAAGAATAAGTTTTAGGCAACTTTGAGTGCTAGACAATTTGAAATGTATTTGATATCCCAACGAGTTACCCAAGAACTGAGCCAATAACTGAACCCGAGACTACAGGATAAATTGCACTTAATTACTAGAGAAAATCCAGCTTCATGTTCCTGTAAGACAAGTAAAACACAAAATGCTGGTTATCCCCTACACTGTTCAAATATACATTTAGAGGCCTTGAAGAAGGACGAATATGAACAGTAAGAAATGAAAATAAACCAAAGCAAGACAGAATATCTTTGTATTGGAGATGATAATGAAGGCCCGGATCTTAGCTTAAGAGATCTGAAAAAGTGTGAGGAGTATAAATACTTGGGAAGCTTCATATCAAGAGAGGGAACATCAGAGTGAAATATAAATAACAGAGTAACGCAAGGTTAAAAATTCGTTTACATTCTTAATTTTTTACTCTGGCGTAGTCAAATTTCTATAAAAATAGAAAATATAATTTACGGAGCAATTGTAGAGCAAATATTAACGTAATGAGGTGAATGTTGGCAGCTATCAGAACGAAATAAAAGGAAGGTAGATGCAGTGGAAACAGACTTTTTCAGACGGGCATGTATATTTTCAAGACTAGAGTATATACAGAACGCTAAAGTTCGAAGAAGAACTGGGAGAATATATAAAACCACCGAAAGAATAGACACCCTAGTAGATAGAGAAAAGAAAAGGTTACAAAAATACAGAAAAATGCGACAAATCAAAGATATAATGGAGAAACTTGTATGCAGGAATGAATTATTTCTAGGAAAAATTTGGAAGAAGAAAAAGAAGATGAAGCTAAAGATAAAGCAGTTTCATTAAAATGAGAATTTGACAGAAGAAATAAAATAGACAACTGAAGTTATCAATATTGATGAAGCTCTGAAAATCTTCATGTACATTTCTTATATCTAAACTTTAAACTGTCTGGTACATTGGGTACATTTGTTCCTACGAAACAAAGGCAATTACTTTTGAAAATTTCAGCATGTTTGTGTTCATAACTTAGAAATTTTCAAACGCATTCTAGACTAAAATTTTCGTAAAATTAAAATTGTATCTAGAAGTGATGTCAATGAAGCTTTAGCATCATCCTCACTACTTTCAAGAATAGTCGTATCAAATCTTGAAAAGTTAGGAGTGCTAAACTACAGGGAAAACCACAACACACAAAAGAAAACACAAAAATTACACACTACTGAACAAAACAGAATATTTATTTTACAAAAGCACTACAAGCCTAATTCGTGTTTCGATTTACCCAAAAAGGCTGTCCAGGCTTAGCACCGGTAATGCTTTCGTTAACGTTTTTTGTTTCTCCATTATCTCTTGAACCTGTTAATGCAAAAAATTAGCATACAATTTTATTAGAACTAAAGCTGTTAGTACCTAGTTTATTAGTTTTTTGTTTCCGTTTATTAACGTACTTTTTCTTTATGCAGCCTCTAGCCTTGTCCAATCCATCCAAACTATTTTTTTTTTCTTCCGTGAAGGTTTCAACAACGTCCACAAATTCTTCATCTTCTTCACTGCAAACTTTCTCATTTACAAGCTCCAAAGCATCACCTGCTTCTAACTTATGTTTAGGAGAATGCGATCTAGATCTCGATCCTCTTTTTGGTACTAGTAAAGCTTTGTTTTCCCAATAATCAGTGGAACTATGAGCAGATGCACCAGCATCTAAAATACCTGACTGATAAGTTTCTTCAGCATTAATTGGTTCATCAACTTCAGCTACACTAACAATATCGTCTAAAAGTTCACTGCAAACGCTATTTCTAGGTGCCGTTAGGTCATAACTAGGAAACGGAGATGGCGATCTTCTATAGTACAAATCACCATCGACTTCAACTTCAATGTGGCCCAATTTCTTTTTAAATATATCAGTATGTTTATGCTCTTCGTTTAAAAATTCTGGAACGCATTCTTGGGATTTGGATTTTTCTAAATTTATAAACTCGGCAGTTATGTCTGGAGTAGGGGAACGTGATTTAGCCAATGAAAGTTCAGCATCATCCTCGCCACTCTCATGAATAGTCAAATGAAATCTTGGTAAGTTAGTAGATTTACTGTTATTAAGCTGCTCCAACTGTGCTTCAAGCCTATCTCTAATTCCTTCTAGCTCTTTGAAATATTGCACTTGCACATTACTAAGGCCAGTTTGTACAGGTTGATAGACAACTCGACGTCGCACGTTATGGTAAAACGCAAGCAATTCAACGACACCCACACAAGTCACTAGAATAGACAGGAGCAAGCCCATATTAAATTATGCGCATAATCATAATAAAATTTCGTTAACAATTAAAAGACGAGCACGGTGTACTACACACTCACTAGGCAGAGAACTAAACTGTGTGCCAATAATTTGGCTGGGGCTCTAGATGAAAAAAAAATTGCCGTTACTTAATCGTTAATTACTAATATTATAAATATGTTAGATAGACTCGATTGAGAGTCTGTTAGGTTGACAAGTTACCAAGGTATAAAAAAAGCTTCAATTAAAAAGCCGCAGGGAATTTTGTTTGTTGAGAAGTCTGACGTAGGGATAAATAAAAATAAAAATCATCCTTCATGCAAGTGCAACTTTTAGGACTACTGCCAATACATCATTTATTTGAATACTATTATTATAACTAATAAACTTGCGAAATTATGCATTTAACAGAGTTCGTAAATACAATAAACGCTCTAATATCTGTTAGGAAGGTACTAATTTTTAAAATATAATGCACAAATTATGAAGTAAATTTTAAAGTTGAGATGAGAATATGTATAAATTTGTGACAAAAATAATTGCAAGATTTGCATCAGTGGTTTGGACCAGAAATATTCAAAAAGCTCTGGCTTGTCTAATGTCTACTCCTGACCCTCATTTATAATCTATTTTCGTAGTTAATGTATCAATTCATTTTACATGTATTGTAGAGTGACATAAATATTTGACGACAATGAAATATCTCAGATAGTTTCGGGTATAAACAAAAATCTATATTTAAAATTTCATTGCAAAGACTTGGAAGATTGGCAGAGCTGCCAACTGTTATCCCATTTCTGCTTGGATTGACCAAGAAGAATAAAATCCTAGGCTAAGCTCAAACATCTTTGGGATAAAATTGATAATAATGCATTCCAAAACATTATGCTAACCCTTAGCAAAATGAAAGGGCAACCCAGAGAACTGATTTCAGTCAACAGTTAAAAAAAATGAAAAAAAACCCTGATGAAGAACGTTGCAAAGAGAAGAAATTAAACTCCACACCACTCCTACGGAAAAGTCATGAGTTTCGTGAATACATCAAACTGTATAATATCAGGCTCAAGTAAATAATTACCACAGCTATCCATAAGATGATTCTTGGAACTGCCACTGCCAAGACCAACTTTCAACTTTATTTGGCATCTCATCATCCTTGGAAATTTGGCAGGTTGACCCTTTTATAATAATGATATTGGGTAGTATGAATAAAAACGAAGTACGTGCTACTACTATAAGTATTAGTATATTCTTCGCAGTATTTACTTCACAAAGAAGCATTTACTAATTTCCGTTAGTTTCAAAATGTAGTTTCTACTCCGTTTTGAAGTAAATACTAAGTAGAACATACTAATACTTGTAATAGCAGCAAGTACTTCGTTTTTATTCATACCACTCATTATGTCAAATTCCAGACAATTTTAAGTGTGTTTTATACGTATATAATTTCGTAAGTGTCGTGGTATTAAAATTCTCTGGCCAATCAAATTTGACACAATTTTCAATGTATGTTTCAAGCAATGACATTGGGTGGTATGAATAAAAACGAAGTACTTGCTACTACTACAAGTATTAGTATGTTCTACGTAGTATTTACTCCAAAACGAAGTAGATACTACATTTCGACACTACCGGAAATTAGTAAATGCTTTTTTGTGAAGTAAATACTGCGAAGAATATAATAATACTTGTAGTAGTAGCATGTACTTCGTTTTTTATTCATATCACCCATTGTTTCAAGTGCAATATATAAAGGGTACCTTACTATTTTGCATACCTGCAAACAATGACCTGCAAAATCTAATGACATTTTTCAAAAATCGGCGTGTTCGGCATTATAAAATTTATTTTATATTAAAGATGCCCAAAAAAATTTCAGTATTTTCAGTAGAGAAAAAAAGGGAAATAATGAAATGTTATATATATTTTCTTTAAAATTTATAGTAAAGGAGACGACCGCATTTTTCCTACCCCGATCGAGTTATGTGTCGACACTATTATCAATATATAGTATTATGTGCATCTATTAACCAGTATTCCTGCCTGAGAGCAAATGCTGCCGGAAATTAGGCAATTCAAACCACGTGACATTCAAGATGGCGTGGCGGCCACACATGGGCCAAAAAACATAAAAAAATATATAATTTCTGTCCGATTTAATAATTTAGGCACCTAGTCAACAAATATTTTATTGATTAATCAAAATTAAAGTTGCAAGCAAAACTCTAAGCAATAGTTATTTTCCTAACAAGTGCGCAAAGTGTTACTTTTCCGCACGCAAACACAGTTATACGAACGACGCGAAGCGGAGTTCGGATAAGTGTTTGCGTGCGGAAAAGACACTTTGCGCACGTGTTAGGAACAAAATTTTTCCTACGAGCTTCATATCAGGTAGGTAACAACAAAAAAAAACGATAATTTGTTCAATTATTTTCAATTAACTTGAAGCGAACCTATTCATTCATCAAAAAATTACATAGGTAACAAAAAAACAGAAAATCGAAATTCTCGTCAGAGCTGTTCATCTTAAGGCGTTTAAATTTGATGCGAAAGAAGTTTGTAGATTCTTGCATGTAAATGGAGAACACAAATCTGACGTTAAAGATAATTATATTCAGTGTTTGTATAGATGTTGGCTCATATAGAAACATAGGAGAAATTTGTCATCATGAGTCAAAGTCGACAGGTGCACTTATTGTTGCTTGACAATTATTTTTACTTTTCGGCACTCAGTGCGGATAAGGCCCGTATCCGCACTGAGTGCGGAAAAGTATAACTTTGAGAAAGGTAATGCGTGCGGAAAAGTACTACTTTGCGCACGCTCGTAGGAAATAGTTATTTACCTAACAAGTGCGGAAAGTGGTACTTTTCCGCACGAGACGGCAGTTGCACGAACGACGCGGAGCGGAGTTCGGGCAAGCCGTTGAGGGTGGAAAAGACATTTTCCGCAAGAGTTAGGTACAATATTTTTCCTACGAGTGCTTTTGTCCATCTTATTTATCAAAAAAAATGTTCCAATACGCAAAGATTTTATAATGATGAAATATTTGATCCTAAATATCTTCATTTTTAGCAATAAAAAAATCGTGCGGAAAAGTAACTTTTCAGCACGATTTTACTTTTCCGCACGATTTTACTTTTCCGCACGATTTTTTTATACACACAAAAATAATGAAACCGGATTTTGTTATCATGATCCTTGGCCTATAACTAAATTGGCCAAAAAAATTGTTAGGATTCCCTACCTTCGCGGGGCTATGCCACCCAAAATAGGGGGCCCTGCGGGGCTGTGCCCCCAAATAAGGGGCTCCGCCCCCCCCAAAAAGGAGCACACAGGGCTTCGCCCCCCAAAAAGGGGCCCCGCGGGACTGTGCCCATCAAAAATGGGGCCCCCGCGGGACTATGCCCCCCAAATAGGGGGCCCCTGAACTTTAATATGGGTACACTTTTCAGTAAAAGTAAAAATCGTGCGGAAAAGTAAAAAAATAGTGCGGAAAAGTAAAATCGTGCGGAAAAGTAAAATCGTGCGGAAAAGTACAACTTTCAAAACGAAAAATCATGCGGAAAAGTAACTTTTCCGCACGCTCGTAGGAAATAGCTATTTATACAATAAGTTACGAAATGAGCGTCTTTTAGGCACGCGACGTGAAAATTGTCCAACGAGGCAAAGCCGAGTTGGACAACACGTCGAGTGACTAAAAGACATCGTTTCGTAACGTATTGTATACAAGATTTTTTCTACTGGCATTTTATAATAAAAAAACACAATTTTATTTCATGTGAATAAGTCGATTACACCCAAAATCTTTGTTACCTGCTTTTACTTGACACCTGACCCTTTTCATGCGATTTTCTTTTCAAAATTCGACATCAATAATTAAAATCCTAGAAAGTAGGTAATAACACAAAGTTCTGTTTTGAGTAAACCAAACGTTCAATTCAGTAATTCCATTTTCAATATTCATAATAAATACAAAACAAAATTCAAATATGTGTTTAGTGTGTTTTTTATTTCTGAATAATGAATGACACTTTTAGGCACTAGTGCTTAAAAATTACTTTTACGCACTCATAAGTCACTTTTACGCATTCAAAAGTCACTTTTACGCACTGAGTGCCTAAAAGTAACTTTCACGCACTCAGTGCCTAAAAGAATGTCGTTTCAAAACTGAAATGACAATCGAAAAGTTGCTATTATGAAACGTCAGTAGAAAAAATAATTTAAAATACGCATGAAAACATATTCAAAACAAACTTGCTTGGCCGCCACGCCATATTGAATTTTCGTTTTTGACAGATTGATTGAATTGCCTAATATCTTTTAACAAATTATTAACAAATTGAAAAAAACGTAACACTACCCCCATCGAGTTATGCCCTAAGTAGGGTATCAGATTGAAGGTTTCGATGTCCTCTATCTAAAAAGTCGATCCTGCCTCGTGAGAACCTTGAACTTGCCGAAAAAGGGTGGCAGGGCAGCTTATTGGGGCAAGGGCCCGCGGTCTCAGCTTTGACACCTATCAAGTTTTACCCTGAATGATGTGTCAAATTAAAGGTGTTAAATAAGTTGATTCGCACAGAAATCCCAAAACAAAAGGAGTGAATTTCATTGGTTGAAACTAGTTTCCTGACTGTTTCCAACCAATGAAATTCGCTCTGACTGGTTTGTGATTTCTGTGCGAACAGACCCTAAATCAACTTATTGACACCTTTAATTTGACACATCATTTAGTGCAAAGCTTGATAGGTGTCAAAGCAGAGACCGCGGGCCCTTGCCCCAATAAGCTGTCCTGCCACCGTTTTCCGGCAAGTTCTCACGAGGCAGGATCGACTTTTTGGATAGAGGACATCGAGACCTTCAATCTGATACCCTACTTAGGGCATAACTCGATGGGGGTAGTGTTACGTTTTTTTCAATTTGTTAATAATTTGTTAATAGTTATTTTTGTCACAAGTACCTAAAATGAAGTTTTTCAGGACGAATCATTGCTGTTTCCGGACGAGGCGTTAGCCGAGTCCGGAATAGCAGATGAGTCCTGAAAAATTTCGTTAGGTTTTTTTTTCATACGCTTTTTAGAATTCTTCAGAACGCTAAAATTTGCAAAATTTCCTTAATTTTTGAAATCATAAAGGTGCATCCAGGAAGAAAAAAATAATCCCAAAAAGAAGCATTTTACGGACTTAAATGAGTCCGTAAAATAGCTGTTTTTGGGAGCGTATGCCAAAATAGTTATTTATGTCATACCAGTACATTATTGTGTTTTTATACCTTAGATACCATCTACATAA